CTGCATTATATCCTGGTGTGATAGTTCTCTGATCTGCGTGAGGTTAATTGAAATCTGTCTTCAGTGTTATATTTCTCATTTTCATCACCTCTCTGCATATCTGAGTCACTATTATCACCTGATTGACTCTTATCGTAATATTAAGTCTTGCTTGTATTTAGCTTGGAATTCATAGAGATTATGTTTTATTTGGTGAGATAGTTGCCTTATTAGTTTTTTTAGAGTCTAAGCTCTTTCTTCACACTGAGCATTTACTGTACTGTTTATGCAGCCTATTTTACCTTTCCTATATATATATATGGTTTGCATCCTGGCCTTACAGGCTTTTTCTACCTGTACAAAAATCCTTCACTTGAGGATACAGAATTTTTCTGTTTATATCCATGATGCAAGCATAATCCACAGTCATGATCTTCTCTACTTATTTACCAGCCCTACATTTTAAATTTCGCTTACAGCCTTCCTGAATTTTAAGTACCGGTAGCTCTGGCTTATTTTCAGTTCAGATGAAGTCTGTGCCTCCAGAATAGGCTCCCTTTATTTGAAAAATTCCTTCAGTTTCTGATGAACCTGAATCCATATTCCTTGAGTTATCTTTTCAGGCAGACATTAAAACCTTATCTGTCTCCCCAGTCCTGTGGGGACTGCTAGAAGCGGTTTAGAAAATGTTACTACAGAAGTATAGATTTCCGGCTTCATTCCTTTCAACCTAATTTTTATCTCCAGGGCTTATTTCCTGCATTTCCTTATATTGTGGGTGCCTATGTAGATCAAACCTACAGACTCCTTCCTGTTTTTTTCTGGGCTGAGCAAGATTCCTGTGAGATGTATCACCTTGCACATGACTAATCAGACTCTCTGGAGTCTTTACCCTGGAGTCAAAAACCTATCTATTTGACTGATGGTCGTCTACCACCATTTCAGCTGCCTAGGATCTCAGCTTTAAGGAGGAGATTCTTACGGCAAGAAAATACATTACCATTCTCTACTGGGAGGATAATCGGTGGAATTACTTCCCACATCATCAAGCTGTTGCATGCTGTCACAGGACTAGACTTGTGGATCCTGCTGTATGATGTTCCTGGAAGTCTCAATGAACCATGTATATATGGTGTCTTTCCATGGGTAAGGTACTCCGACATATGGTGCTAGCACAGTAAATTCGATAATTCTCATCATCTTGCATGAATTCTGCCCTCATATCTTCTTTAAACAGGAGTTCATGCAAATTTTAAATATTTAGAATAAACAGTATTTAGGCATTTAGTTTACATTAGTTAGTTAGTTTACATCATTAGGCAGTTAGTTTACATCATTACAACATTTAGTTTTGCATCAGTAACACAGAATTAATTGTACTTCAGTCTTTAGTTGCCTCCATTCTTCCTCCGTAGGATGAGGCTACTTATGATAGGTTGTGAAACTAACTTCATTTATGCAGGTGAGTCCAGATATTATAGTGGATAGTACCATAAAAAGCGCATGAGGGTTTTAATGATTCTACATTTAGAATTAAATTAAATCTGTGTTCATGAAATCACATGATAGGTTATAGTTTAAATAAGGATAAAAAAGAAACATCATTTCATTTTAAGGTCTAAAGGCCATCTTGCTGTTAAAAAATGTTCTTTATTTTAGATTCCAATTATAGTTTATCTTTGTAGGAAGGTTTAAAATGTTACATTGTGTCTGTCGTCTAAATGTATCCGTTTGCAACTTCAGGTCACTGAAATTTGCACTGTATTTGTCTGTAAGATTCACTCTTCTTCTGCCAAGGAAGTTGCTTTAAAACTGTGCTAGATCATCCTTGAAATATTCTTAAAAAAGCTAAGTAGATTCAAGTCCTGGTATCCATTTCACTACAATGCAAATCTCTCAAGCCATTTGGCGTTCCTGTGGCTCTTCCTTGCTGCTCCAATTCATGTGTGTCATTTTCAAAATGAACATTTTAGAACTGGCTGTGTTATTTCAAGTGTGTGCACCACTGCCAGATACAGATATAATTAATAGTGTCCCTAGTCCTACTTAATACTCTCCTGATGATGCAGGATTACACTAATGCTTTTGAGTGTATTTTTTTGTAGGAATGCAGATTTTTCTTAGTCTCAGTAGAACTCATGGTTTTTTGCAGATAGTGCTCTGCTCTATTCATTTATTGGAATTGTTTTCCTTGTTACAAGAATTTATCTTTTAATTGGTATTATTAAAATATGTATTGTAGCTTACTTCTAATTTAACAAATCATCAAAATTACTGTATACCTAGAATCTGTCCTGTTCATCGTTACTTTTCACTTTTTGTTTCCTACAAACATTATTGCAGTTAATTTAGATGTTCAATCAGATCAGTAGTTTTTTGAGCTAGGGACTGTCACTATCCCACCAGAAGCATATCCACTTAATGATGACTTTATCTTAATTAAATTTTGATTTGGAATCTTATAGTTAGCCAATTTAAAAGCATTTAAAATGTGCCATATTATTTTGCATGGTTTTATTTTTTTCCTAAAGCATTTGTGTGGTGTCAGATCAGTGTCTTGTGGCAGTTATTACAGCACCTGTCACTAAGGTTGGAAATTTCATAACAAGTATTAATTTAATTTTGAAAACTCTTTTTTCCATAAAATTATTCTCCTTTATATTTTTATGAACTGGATTGACTGCTATTCTATAACAGAATGGGTGATTGGTTGACAGATTTATGATCGTCTGACCTTTAAGCCCTTGTGATATGATGAAGACCCATGGACTATTTATATGTTTTAAATATTGACCCAGTTTTAGCTTTCTTCTTTTCTTCTGGAATTATACACTCTTCAGTTTTTGTAAAAGTGAAAATCAATTGCAAAAATCAATCTTTCAATGAAAATCAGAGGTAGGGTTAGGTCTCGTATGACCATTAATTATAGTCATAGTGAAGATATATGGCCATGTGATAACAATACTGTCCCATAAGATATATTTGTGCATGTAGTTGAAATGAGTTTGTTTAAATGATCTTGATGATTCTGTCCAGCTTTTGATATTTGACTTAACAATTTGAACATCGTTATATGAAGAGGGTTCTTTTGCATTTTTTTAAACATAGCTCTAACTTAAAAGGCTGTTATTTAAGAAAAAAACAGGTACATGTTTAATAACTTATGTCAAAGTATGTTTTAATAGGAATATTTGAAGTTACATAATCCCCTATGCTATAAGCTATGATAGTTTAAATATCAAAATTACAACAAATAATGTAATGCAAATAGAGTGCTTTGTAGAGCTATGAACTCAATCATGTAATCAGTATTATCAATTGAAATTTATCTATCAAACTGTATAAAATATGCATGTTAGCTGAATGGAGAAAATGCCAATAAACAATGTCTTGCTTGTCTTTTTTATTATAAAAAGACAAAAGCTATCCTTGCAGTGTATGTGCACTTCTTGCCAAATAATGCTCAAGTAATCTAAACTGTGAAAGAATTTATTTCATCATTCCTATACAACGGGTTATATTAGGTTAATTTTTTTTAGAGGGGATAAGTATAAGTGCAAGGAAACAAAAAAAAAAAAGCAGGTAGGATTTATGTCTTAGAAAAATAGCTCTTGGAAATGAGTCAATGATTTTAAACAGAGATCCATATATTCTAAACCAGATTGGATCTGAGCTTTCTCAATAGGCATGATTATTCTGAACAAAAGTGTTGATTCAGTTCAAAATAAAGAAAGAATCAATGAAATAATCTCTGAATTAGCACATACTTCACAAAAGCTGAATTATGTGATCTGAAATTGAATCATATACACCTTTGATATAAATCAGTTATCGTATGTCATGATATAATAGTTTTCCATTTTTAGCATAGACTAGAGTAGTATAATGTTCATGGGAACAGAAAAGCTAAATTTTAAAAATGCAAGAAAGTATTCTTAGGTTGTTTTAGCTATATGCTCTAGTTACCCTCTTAAAGTGAGACTAAAATGTATGAGTTAACTCTGTTGCCCTTTCCTCCAAGTCAATATCATCATAAGTCTGCTAAGTTGGATGTTAGAAAAAATAACTTGTTAAAGCATGAGTATGAGTACTTGTTAAAGTATAAGATGAGTATAGGCTTAACTGCTGAAGATCAAAATTTACATTTATCTGAACAGTGAAATCATAAAATGCCTAGTCAGAAATTTACATATAAGAGTAATTTTAAATAGAATTTCTGATATACAGAATAAGAAAAAAATATTTTATCTTAAATCTTTAGGAGTTACTGTTCTAGGTGCTGAGAGATGACATTATATGCAGTATTGTTCAGCACGTTGCTAAAAAAGTACTGCTTAACTCTATAATTACTGTCAACAGATGAAGTAAAAAGATGTGTCCCATTATTATGATGTCAGACACTGAGAGGTACACATAAATGAACTATCAAATTCAGTACACTCTTAAAGATATGATAGGTTGCTATAGAAAAATATTGATAAATGTTTATCTTCTTTGTGCGTTTCAAAAGGAAATGCAAGAAAATAACCACGAGAAACAGATTGTCACAAAGTCTTTAGCATATGCTGCAAGAAACTTGGCATAGGCTTGAAGATATGGATTAGAAAACATAGGTATTTGCAATTGAAAAATGAGCAGCTGAAGAAAATTATTCAGCTATAAAAATATGCATCTCAAAGCTCTTCGTATAATTTTCTCGTGAAAATAGTTGTCAAAACAAAGCAAAGCATGTAAAAATTTTTATGTAGGAACAACGTCACTTCAGCAATAGAAAAAAAACATTAAAAATCTGTGTACTTAATTCATAATATAGAAGAGTTCTGCTCCCAGTGTGAAAGACCTTTATGGTAAGGAATTAAATGAGTAACTGTGAAGTCAGTCTTCAGAACTGAACTTGATTACCCAGATTCTAGGGTACCTTTGAGAAGTAACTTTTTAAAAGTTAAAATCAAAGACATTTTATATGCTTGGTCAGATATCATATTTTCACCTAAATTTATTTTTTCTGCAATTTTTTAAAGCACAGAACTGTTACACTTCGTAGACAACCAGTTGGTGGCTTGGGCTTAAGCATAAAGGTATGAATAACTTCTTGTTTGTTTTCCTTTTAATTTTCAGTATAAATAGTTGTCTCCAGTCTTAAATGAGATCTCATGGTTAATACACATCTTTTGCAGGGTGGTGCTGAGCACAAAGTGCCTGTCGTCATATCAAAAATATTTAAAGACCAAGCAGGTAAACTATACGTTTATATTATTTAAATATATAATACTATAATATCCATGATATTTTTGGAGAAATTAAATTTTCTTTAAATCCGGAATTAAAATACGTTTATGGATCATTCCTTCAGCATCACACTATCTTTAAGCCTTTCTGTAAGTATCTGAGTGCTCCATATATCTTTACTTTACCTTCATTTACCAATTTACTTTACAATATTACCTTCAGAGAATACACTTTTTACAGCAGAAACACAATTGTGTCATAAACATAGCGTTTAGCATTAGTCATGAAAACACAACTATGTCATAGGAAATCTACAGATGCACTTAATTTTAATAACCTATAGGATAAAATAATATGAACCAAGCATATTTTTTCCCCCGTGCACTAGTTCATTTCCATATGGTATGACTTATTGTGCCTAGTAGCAAACAGATAGTGATTTGTAATGTTTATTTTTTGTTATGATGACACAATATATAAATCAGTGTAATCCAAGCCAGTTAAATGTTACATTGACAAATATTCTCAAAAAGAACCTCCTTTGCAGGACAGTATTAGAACTTGGAATGAACTTGAAAAATTAGAGAACTGCTCTGAAAAATAAAGGGTCAGTTCAGTGGAACCACTTCACATAGGTGGGAATAATGAACTACACAAGACAGATGGTGCCTTGTAAGGTGTATTAAAGGTTTTAGCTAATCAAAACTGAAGTCATGTTTTTGTCTCTGGTAGACATGAACATGGTGACTAGTTTATTCTTTTCTTCACTGAGGCAACCTTTAAACATTTGAAGATTTACCATGTTTCTATGATAAATCTACAAGTTTCCTCTCTTCTCTGGAATAAATCTTTCCATTTCTTATAAGCTTTCCTGCAAGAAAAGACAGAGCACTACGTAATGATACTAAATGCATGCCGTGCTCCTTAAAGGACTCGGAGCCTTTGGGATCATGTTTTTGGCATCATCTTTTTAACTGATCGGTATCTCTTCCTGCTTTGCGCAGTGGAGATTGAGCATATTTGATTCTACTTGGCCCCACGTTCAGCCTCAGGCTTTCCAAGATCTCAGGCTGTGTTTGTTTTTCTCCTCTGCGTTTTCTTTAGTGGGTCCACATTTTGCTTGAAGTGTAATACCCAAACCTGGAAACCTATTTCCAGCTGATATCCAATGAATACTCAATATTCTGTTGAAAAGAGTGCTTCAAGTTCTTTACATGCAGTATTTGTGTTTATATTTATGATATTGTTACTGCAGTGTGGAAGAGAATAGATATTTTTATGAGAGTTGTAGATTGAACAATAATAAGCTTGTAATACATAGTATAATAAATCATATGAAGAAAATAAATATATAAGTAAGCCCATATATCATGATCCTGGTCGAATCAGTGAGTAACATGAAGACACTGACCCAATTAACAAGGTATGAAAAATACAGTATATGTATGTATTAATGGCATCACTGGTGTTGCTGTTGGACCACATGACCTGCTGAGGTACCTTCCAACCTAACTGTTTTTGTGATTAGCAAAAATAAAGCACTGCAGGAGGACAGACCTGTGATCAAGATGGTTATTGTGGCACTTTGTATCATGCACCCCCATTCTGGTTACCGAGTGCCCACATAACAGAAAACAATTCTTTTTATTTTCTTCTGTGAAATGAATATTTCTAAAAAGTGTGAAGATTTTGAGAAAAACTTGAAAGTCTGGAATGTTCTGCAAGTCTTTCTGCGTTTTTTTTTCTTGGATATAATATCAGAATCTCAAAATATTGCTTTTAATATGTCCAAATATAACTTACAGGTGACCTTGAGGAGAGATTTCAGTGTTACGATTCTAATGTCCTAATGTTAGAGGAAACAGTTTAATAATACTGTTTAA